TCATTTTCATACTTTTGTGCTGGATGGTTAAGACCAAGATAAAGCAAGACCTATATAACAAGAAATGTAACTTTTGTACTTGATAAGGTTCAGTCAAATCCCCTCAGGATTTAAGCTGGAACCCTGTACCACACTTTGTAGATCCTTTGTCAGTGTCAGCCATGTGGATGAGTCACAGCCATTGCTTGACCAATTTGCTAATCATCATTTTTCTGATTGAGAAGAATCCACATAGGAAGAAACATTCCTATGTTTCAGTGTGGCCTCTTAGTATTACAGAACAGGCCATGTTGTTCCAGCATATTTGAGGAACGTTCATGTGACCACCACATGTGCCCGGAGCTCAGGGATACCCAGACCCCAGATGAGCAACAGCTCTCAAAGAGCTCTTTGTAGTTCCATATGAGTTTTATATTCTTAATACAAAGGGACCACAAATATCTTTGATTGGTTTTCTTCAGAAATAGTCTTTGGGTATTTTAAAACAATTTTTAAAATAAATATAAGGGATTCACAAGATCAATTTTTTTTAAATGAAAGATATCATTGAGACATAATTTACACACTATGAAATGTGCCCAATTAGAATGTACAGCTCAGGGGCTTAGAGTTTATTCATGGGGTTGGTAGTTATCACCATTGTCTAATTTTAGAATATTTTCATTATTTCAGAAAGAAGTAGCACCCATTACCACTCACTCCCTATGTTCAGTTCCTAGGCAACTGCTAGTTAATTCTCCAAAACCTACTTCTTTAACATATCTCATGGCATCACAAATCATGAGGTCATTTGGGATGGCTAATTGCAAAATACTTTCCCAGCATAATACTTTCTAGGTCCATCTGTGCTGTGGCATGTATCGGCCCTTCACTTTTCCTTATGGCTGAATAATATTCTATTGTATGGGTGTATTACATGTTGCTTATCCATTCAATAATTGATAAACATTTGGGGTGCTTCACTTTTAAGTTATTATGGATACACTTACTGGGAATATTTGTGAATTTTTTGTGAATATAAGCTTTCACTTCTGTTGAGTATTAATGGGGTGTAGAATTTCTCAATAACTTGGAAACATTAATAATGTCAAACATTTTGAGGGCTAAACTTTTCCAAAATGGTTGCCCTAATTTATCTTCCTATAACCAATTTATAATTTCTCCATATCTTCAGCAATACATGCATTGTAGTCTTTAAGTAACAGCTCTCTAATGGCTAATGATATTCATCATCTTTTATGTTCTTATTGGCCATTTTTATGTCTTCTCTGGAAAAGTATCGACTGAAGTCTTTCAGCACTATTAAAAGGGGTCATCTGTCTTTTACTGTTGAGCCTTAAGAATTTTTCATATATTCTGGATATGTTATTTATTAGCTATATGATCTGTAAATACTTTCTTCTATTTCTTTTTTTCATAATTTTATTGATAAACAAATAGCAATGAGACAGTTTCAAATCAAATCGCTAGGACAGTTTCAATAATTAACACACTGCATACATTTTTCTTAGTGGTTAATTGCTATACAAGATGCGGACTTGAGATCCTATTTACAAACGCCATTAGAACAAATCATTCTATTCATTAAGAGAATGTAACTATATATCTATCCTAACCACTTTGAATACACAGATACAAAATGGACATTCATCTGTATACCCTTTTTTTGTTAAGTTCCGTTATTTGAATATTATAGGTGTGTAAACTCAGCAAAATATTCTAAAAGAGTCCAGTAGCCCATAATAGCATTGGGTCTGCTGTTTAACTGGCAATGTCAGAAATTGTTGACCTGAGTCCCCCACAGCTCAACATAAAGTTCTTCTATTTCTTGAGAATACAAATAAAATCAAGTTTAAAGTAAAAGTAGCAGCACTTGATTAAACCATAAAAGTTTTAATGTATGGAGGATAGAATGCAACTGAAGCTTCATGCATTCACTCACTCATTGAGGAAATAAGTAAGGCTCAGAATGTGTTAGGAAGTGGGCTTTCTACCATACACAATTTACAGTTCATAAACAATATTTTTCATTTTGATTTTAAGCACTTCCAAAAGCTCCTTATTTTAATTAAACATCAGAAATTGATCTCATATAATTATGATATACATAATTTTTTAAGAGTCATTCTAGTTCTTTAAAGTACACTGAGATTGATTTCCTTAACTGATAATTCCAGAACATCCCAGGCTATGCAGTACAGAAATGATCTCTCTACCCTAAACATCACTGGAGAAAACTTCATCTTAATTTAAAACCATATGTTTAATATCTCAACAACCCTACTTGGTAGCTCTATTTTTTATGTGTGTTGTAACACATCAAATAGGCTCTCCTGTTTAAAGTCATACTTCTACTAATTCTATTTAATGATCATTGAAAATTTCTATGTAAAAGTGAACATTTGTGCCTTTGAATGTTATGAAACTTACTACAACCACAGGGGGTGGATGCGAAAACTATTCACCATAGTTTTATTGTCCACATATTTCAAAATGCTTATTTCCTACGCATTTCGGATGCATACACATTGTGTATTTTACTTCAATTAGCGCAGTGCTCTTAGATGCAACAGAACAAATATACACACACAAAGGAAAGAACTAAACATTACTTAACACATGCAAATTTCAGACTGTTAGACATTACACTATGGGAATTATCTGAACTCATCTGTCAAGTACCATCTGGGTTATCAACCTCATCAGGAGCAAGGTTTTATGGCAGGCTATTTCTCCTGCGTCTCATAAAAGAAGAGCACCAGAAAGACACCCTTTCTTCTGATGACCTTGTTCAATCAGTGCTTACAGAGACCAGAAACAGCATTCTCAGCTCACAGCAGCCACAGAAAATGTATAAAAAGCAGGAAGAAGGAATGCATTCTACATAATTGTTGAAACTTGAAAGACCATGGAAAAGCATATCCTTTTAAGTAGGACAACAAGTGCAGGGACAGTGGTGATGCAGTTTATAAGTGGGCAAAGACCAACTACTTCATTTGGGGAGTGTGTGACCATGTAAGTCACAGCAGACACAGACACTGGGAGCCAGGTGATTCCTTACCAAGTTTGGTGACAGAAGTGACTGAAAGTGAAAAAGGACACCGGCATTCGCTATCTGGTCGAGCCATCTTCTGCTAGCCTCCCAAGTTTCCATCTCATTTTCCTTGCTGTTGTCAAACATCTGGTTCAAGGCAGCCATGAGCTGCTCAGAGAAGGCACAGACGGTGGCCACGAGGCTTTGGCAGAAAACCATGTCTCTCCGGAGCTGCGTTTCACTGTCTGTGATAAATGAGAACAAAACAGTTCTGAAAAATGTCACAGGTACAGAAAATCCATTCACTAAATGTTTACACATACCTGCATTTCATTTTTTTCTCAACTCATGCCATGTGAAAAATACAAATTTGAGTGTATTCATGGGCACAAGTACTTTAGTAATTATATATTCTAGCAAAAACTGACCACCAAAAAATTTAGAAACACTAGAATTTTTTTTCTGAATTGATAATGTAACTCTCCTCTGCAATCATTAAGTTGTTTTATAAAACACAAGAAAAATACACTTCAGTTATTTATGTATTTTTTACTGATGGGATAAAATTTTCAAATTCCAGTTTCTTCATTTTTTTAACAAATGAAATTCAGTGCCACTAATACTTTTCTAAAAAAAAATCTATTAAACTTATCCAAATGTGAATATGAAATGTATATGAGGAAAGACTATCTCCTGTCCAGTTTTTGTAATAATTAGCAAATCTCTATGTCCCAAGTTAAAACATTTGATTTAATGAGCAGTAAATACATCCACATTTATAGGAATGAGAATTCTGATTATTTTCTTGATACAAGTATTGATTTTCAAGTATTTACTATAGGTCTCATCCTGCACTTAACTGGAGTTTTAGTAGACTCCCTTTGAAGATGTACTTGCTTTGTGGACTACAATTTTTGAGATAGTTTTTTTTTCCTAATAAAAAGAAGCTTACACGCCAGGTTAACTTTTTTCAGTGGCTGGGTGTTTACAAGTTACATAAACTAAATGAATTCTAGGCCATACATTCTGCACATTCAAAAACCATGTGAACTAGAAGAAAAACACAGAAAAATACAGTGTGTTGAATATCTTGGAGGCTTCAGAACTCTCTGGAGAAAAGAAATACTGTCAATATTACTGAAAACAGAGACAAATGCCACCTTTCATCAGTGTTGGACACTCATTTTGTTGACAAAGAGGAATAGTTTTTTGAAGTTTACCACAATTATTGAGCATTGGTTTTTAGTAGCCCTCAAAAACAAGTATACATATAATGTAGTTACTGTGAATCAGTTTCACTGGTAGTAACACCAACTCTTGAAAATTTTATTGGAAAATACATTAAATGTTAAACTATTTCATTTCATATGGAAAATATTAATTTGTTAGATTGAGCTACATGAACTTGCTGCTTTGATAGGTCCACATGGTTAAAAATGGCAATTCCATGCAGTTCAAATAAACTAATGTGTCGAGACTTCTCACTTATGTGGTTCTATACATATGCCCTCTGCTACTTACTAGACAGGAAGGCATACTTTACAGATAACAGTAAAATAATAACATTGGAATAAACTTCATCTAATTCTCAAGAAAAAACCAAAACACTTATTTTGTTGCTCACAATTTATAACAAAGAATAGAAATTCAATATACTTTTTTAGATTTCATTCATTTTAATGAAAAAAGGATAAAATGGCAATTAAACAGTTTCAAAACAGGTAAGTATGACAGTTACAATAATTAATACACTGCATATTGTTGTCTTCACAGTAGTTATTCAGAGGACAAGATGTAGTCATGATATCTTGTCTAAACAATATTAGTACAAACCTTTCTTCTTACTGAACTAAGAGAAAGTAGCTGTATGTCTATCCTATCTTGTATATACATATATATGCTTTTTACTACAAAATGATCCTTTATTTATATCCTTTTTTTGTTTTATTTTGTCATAGATGAGTGTTACATGCTGTTAGAAAAGCTGTATTTGAAGAAGTCTTTAAAGGACCTTTTCATACTTGAAGCCACACTATAAAGATTGTACGTACTTGAATTCAGCAAAATAACCCAATATAGTACAATGGTCCATAATAGCAGTGGGTTATCAGAAGAACTGATAATTGTCAGAAGTTGTTGACTTGAGCCTTTTACAGCTCAGCATAATATGGCATTACTTTTTATATATCGTGGTTATACTTTTCTGCTGGTTGGTTAAGCAACAAAGTTAAAGCAAGACCTGTATAACTAAAAATGTGACTTTGGTATCTGACAAGGTCAGTCAAATCCCTCCAGGATTTACCCTGAAACTATGTACAGCACCTTGTAGATCTTTTGTCAGTGTCAGTCATCTGGATGAGTCATGGCCATTGCTTGACCAATTTGCTCTCTGTGAAAGCCTGAGCAATTTTTCTCTCTTGGTGACTCTCTTTAGGCACACTATACATTGTCGATCACTTTCTTCTGTGGCCTCATAATCTCCTTGATCAGAAAATTTGGGTCACCACTGAGTTACAGGATGTCACAATAGAGGTTCTCTTATGTCCTGAGTCCTCACTGACCTTAAAGGGCGAGGGCCAAAATATTGGCTATCCTTGTAGCCCCTCTATTTCTCTAATTTTTGGTCTGCAAACTTTAGTTGTTAAACATCAAGAAAAGAAACTTAATATTATTATCCTAATATCAACAGAGACAGTTGAACTTAACGTCACTATCTGCCTGAATATCACATGCTTAGACATAAAATGGAACTGCTATTTTCCAACAACCATTGATATTCTAAAATTTAAATCTCTATTCAACATACTTTTATAAATGAATGAATGAGGAAAAATAATGGGCTAGTAGAGCTAAAAATGAATTAAGTGAAAATAAATGTATGAATTCATTTTAAGGCTTCTTGTAATCTCTGGATTTAATTCAATTTAAGAGGGTGCTTTAGATAGGCTGTTAGTTCCAATGCGGAGCTGAAGTATTGAGGTTTAAGACAGAAATTCAATATGAAAAAGTTGTCTTAATCTTCCTCTTATACTCTTACATTGCTTTTCAATTGTCTTATAGTCAAGAAGAGAACTTGGATGAAATTTGAAAATACTTTGGCAGCTTTGGCAGGAATACTCCCACCTATACCCCAAGAATAACTTCATAAGATCTAATGTGAAAGAAATTGCTGATATTAAGAATGAGCAGAAGTGTAGGGAAGGGAGCTCTGGACCGGAGCAAGCTTCAGAAGAGATCACAAGGGTGAGCAATCTTGCTACTTGCAGAAATAATTCTCTCAAAAATGTTTTTGAGAAGAATTGGAATTCCTTCTTTTTCTATTTTAAAAAAGAATAATTAGACATTTAATCTTCTCTCTACTATTGTATACATTCTACATGCATAAAATCAAATTAAGATTTGCATTTATTATCTTTAACAAATCACAGCTTCATTAGAGTTTCCAATGTACAAAACCTATGGATAAATGTAACTGTCACATAAAAATTATATTCACTCATTAATTCAAACATTTAACAATGAATGCCCACAGACATTAAAGCTTGTCTCAATTACTGGATAAAGTCCAACCTGGAGACTCAGCCATGTCTGCTCACAATAAAGTGACCAAGACACAAACACAAGATGCCTTGGATCACACCGTAACTTAAATTTTAAACAAACATTTTTAAATGAAAGACACTTAATTAAACCTCAAGATTTCATGAGGGTATACGTCTTTGCTACTTTCTTATTTTCAATGTACAGCAAATGACTTGCTTGCATAAACTTCAAAATACACCTATCTCAGAAGCTTTTCAAGAACTCTATTTTTTTTTTCCAGAGCCGGGATTGAACTCAGGCCCTTGCGCTTGCCAGGCAAGCGCTTATTCTACTGAGCTATCTCCCTGGCCCCAAAGCTGTACCAAGAACTTTTAAAAAGTTACCATCTCACAGTGAAAGACAAATCTAGAAAATGGTAAAGCAACTAAGGTCTTGCATATATCCCCACTTTATGTAGAATTCTCATCATGATTCCTCTTTTTTCTAGCCTGCAGCAGTTCCTGGCACTAAGGGGTACTAGGTTTCTCTGCTGAATGGAGAAGAAGCACTATGATAAATAAAGAAGCACACCACAATCTTCTTCCAGAAAAAAACAAGCCTTTTCCTTTTAATTATGTAGTCATTCACAATTCACAATTGTCCAGCCTTTTCCAAAGATCTTCTCACTCTATTTTTATCAGGGCTATAGTAAGAAGTACAAAAGCTACTTTCAGCTTCTAGCAAAGAAGAAAAGCTAGGGCCTCTGGGTTTTTGTGATAACTTGGCTATTGTTCTTATAAAGTAAGATGGGTCTTGTCATGAGAGTCCACATGAAATAAATGGTTTTTGTACCTATCACAGGCTTCAGTTTCATTTCAGTATTTAAGCACCTACTAAATGCATCTACAAATATGTTTTTAAATATTATCATTTCATTTAACCTCAGCCATTTAAAACTTCAAATTCTATAATTAGCTAACTAATTAAAAGAGAATGAGGTAGGGCCAGGGAGATAGCTCGGTACAATAAGCGCCTGCCTCACAAATGCAAGGTCCTGAGTTCAATTCCCAGTATGTACCCCCCCAAAAAAGAGAAAATGAGGTAATTTCTAGGTACACACAACTAATCCCAGCTATTAGTCCAATGTAGGCCATGTAGGGAAAGGAAAACAAAATGAACAAAGAATAGTAGGGAAAGTATATTTGAGAAGAAGAAAGGTAGGAATGAAAGGGGTGAAGAAATATACATTATTTAGTATGTTTCGATTAAACTTGGCAACATGTTGGCTTGGGAGCAGCCTAGATGCTCAGTGAAGTGCATTCTGGGTGTGTGGGTGGGCCATGAATGCAAGACCTGCATTGCTATCATGTCCCTTTCCCCTTCCTCTCTGACCCCGTTGCCCTGTTCTTCTTCCTGACTGCCATGGAGCAAGCAGCTTCATTACGCTGCAGCTTCCACCATGGTACTTCTGCCTTGAAGCCAGCAGACCTTGGACTAAGTCTTCTGAAACACTGAACTGAGCAAGATTAGGTGACAGGTGTCAGGTATTTCATCCAGCAGCAGCAAAGGTGACTAATACTAAGAGATGCAATATACCCCTTCACATGAAGACCACAATTTCACAGCAAAATATTTAGAAAAACTTGTTTATTGCTTTGGTGTAAGTGGGAAAATAAATAAGCAAACAAAACAGGGAAAAGAATCATGGTAGGAAAAGAAAAAG